CAACCTCAGAGAAATGCAGTTTGCCCCCCAAGGCCAACCAAGAAGCCAGTGGGGAAACAAATTATCAGTCCACTTAGGATTAATTTCTTCACCGCGTGTGAGCCAAAGACCTCCCCAGCCTGGCTTCTGTCTTCCCTGGAGAGCCCCAGGGACTAGGGTGTCGTTCTCAGCCCTGGGGAGGGTTCCTGCCTCCCCACCACTCTCCCTCTTGCAAGAGGGTCTAATGGTTCCCACAACCCTCATCCCCACGCCCTCCTCCTTGCCTTTGCCCTTCTCAGCCTCCGCCTTGGCGGGGTGATGGATTAGGAACCAGGGGCTGGCCCATGCACCCAGCAATTAGTGTTTATCTCCCTCATATATGCGGCTGAACAACAGTTCGTTTTCGAACTTAATAGTCAACATTCAGAAAGATAAAACTGCCTGGGTCCCTCCTGGGAGGCAATTTGAGGATTTGGTGGGAAGACCTGGACAGGGGCTGGGCGCACATCTCTGCCTCCAAGACCCTGCCCCCTCTGGACATGCATCCTGGCCCCAGCTTTTACCCTTCTGATCTCCCCGCACAGTCAGCAGCAAGATACCGATCTCCCCACCTTGCAGGCAGGAAATCTGAGGCTGAAGGAAGCCAAGGGACTCTGCCCCTCAATTTTCTCTCGCCTTGGATTTTGAGGACTCTGGCTTTCTATTTACCACCTGGCTTGGTAGGCTGACCTGTAGAGTCCCCTCAACCCTCAGGGGCTGCAGACCTCAACCTGACATGCCCACCAGGCTCCGTCCCTCAGCCTGCCCGCCTGCAGGGAGAGCCCAAGGGCAGCAGCCCCCCACATGGAGGAGACCCTTCCCATGCCCCACCCTGCAGTCCCCATGCCAGGCTGGGTGGGGTGTGGTGGGGTGAGCAGCAAGCCTCTCATTCCTGCTTGGCTGGGGGACTGCCGGCCTGTAATCACACATTCCACAGCCTGGGGCAAGGTCTATTTAGCTAATGCAGAAGGAGTGGAGAAAGGGGCTCCCCTGGTGGGAGGGCTGTGGGGCCCAGGTCCTGACAGTGGCTTGGGGAGGGAGGCTGAGTGCCCATAAACTGCGGTGAAATGCTGCCACCTGCTGGCCATTTCTCAGAACTGCAGAGAGCTGCGGGGCTGGCTGCGGGGCTGGTTCCGGGGCTGGGAAAGTGGAAACTGGCCCCCTTCCCCAACCACCCCCCCATGGTCCCGAAAAAGCTGGGGAAATCGATCTTGGTCCCAGGTTGGGATGCTGTTGTTTCTGCTATTCTTGTTGTTAATGCGACAACAGTAATATTACTGTGTCTCAATAGTTGAGCACTTGCTGGGGCAGGTGCTTTGCACATTGTTTTTGTGTCCCCAGCAATCCTGTAAGATGCTGTTTGCTTCTGATGGGCTGGGTAGCTTGCCGAGGTCACACAGCTGGTGAGTGCCACAGGCGGGATTCTAACTCAGGCAGTCTGGCTCCAAACTGTCGCCCAAAGTCTGAATTCCAAGTGTCAGCTCCCCACAGGAATGTCCCGGATTACCCGCCTCCCCCCCCCATAACTGCTTCTTAGTCTCCAAGGCCTGCGCACATGCCCACACCCTTCTAGAACAAAAAGGAATAACCCCTGATGTCTTGGAGTCCATACTGCAGAGGGTCCTGGAGATCCAGGCCCAGAGCAGGACCCAGATGCTTCTGAGGCCCCCAGGCCCCCCTACCCACTGCCCTTGTGAGCCGGGGAGGCTTCTGCTTGGGGAGTGGTCCAAGCCCTGACTGGCAGGGTGTGGAGCTGAGGAGGGGCAGCTGGGCTGGGTAAGGGGTGCCTCGGGGATTTGAGAATCCAATCCACCTGGCTCTCAACCCCGTCCTGGTCACGGAGCCCCAGCTGGGATGGAGCTCAATTTTCCAGTCCCTCCCAACCACCCTTGTTGCTGTGATCCTTACCCCACAAACTATTACAGCTGGGAGAGGACCTCGGGACTGATCCAGTGAAAACACTACCTCCTTCTGTTGATGGGGAAGGTCAGGCCCAGAAAGGTCAAGCAGTGGGCTCAGATCACACCGCCCAAAGTGAGCCAGGAAGAGAACTCCCAACTCCCTGGCTAGGGCTCCCTGCTGAGCCCCAGTTCTGCTTCCCTCCTGCCCCAGCCCAGCCCCCGAGGGTCCCTCCCCATCTGCCAGCAGGCTACCCACAGCATGCCTGGAATTGCCTAAAGCCCAGAGCTCGCGGGAGAATGGACCAGCCGTAGCTGGGGCTGAGAGGAAGAAGACTAGAAACAGTCTTGCTTCTCTCCTTTCTCTCCCTTTCTGGGAAGAGATGCCTCCCTCCCCCTCGACTCCCGTCCCTGAGCCACTCAGGACCTGCAATGGTCCGATGTTTTCACTCATGGTGAGGAGGGAGGCATTCACAAGAAATGGAAGAAAGGATTCCCCCAGTTGCTTTCTAATCACAGCTCCAGTGGTAAGGGAACTGCTGGGGGATGATGGGGACAGCACGGCGCTCGGGGGACAGCCCCCCCCCGGGGCCCTGGGTACGGCTGTCCTCCTGTCCTCCCACCATACCAGCCTCCACGCTACCGGTGGCAGCTCCTGGTGAGGCCCCGGCCCAGGACAGGCGGGGGTCCAGGGAATTCAGCTGGACTCTGTCCCTCCCTTCTTCCCTCCGCTGGAGCCGCGGCCTTGGGAAGGGCCCCAAATGTGGAGGGCAAGGCCTTTCCCCGAGAACTGAGCATCTCTAGAGCCCAGGAGCATGACCCTCCTCCCCATCACAGCCACGGGGATTGCAGGTCCGAAAGCCGGTCCGGGAGGCTGCAGGGCACGGAGTGCTGGCCTGGGGAAGTGCTCCAGAGAGCACTGCTCATGGAACCAGACCCGGGTCAGGGGCTGGGGAAACAGCAGCAGCCAGTCCAGGGGACACTGTCCTCGCAGCTCCCAAGGGAAAGCATGGAGGTGCGGGAGCCTGCTGGTTGCATGCGAGGCAGCCTCCTTCCTGATGCTGCTGCACCGGGCCCCCACCATCCTCTCCTCTCCTCCCCCCTCCCCTCTGCCCTCTTCTTCTGCCTTATTTCTCCCTTTCCTTTTCTGATTCCAAGGACCCCCCCCCACCCCGCCACCTCCACCTCCCGAAGCCTGGCCACTGGCCCAGCAGGGTGGGGAGAGGGAGGCAGGAAGGGGGCAGCTTGCTCATGTAGGTACTTTTACTAGGTGGCAGGGGAGAGGGCTGCTCCCCTGGTGTGGTGTGGCCTCAGGTGAGGAGCAGCACAAGGAAGGACAGTGAGAATGAAGGTGCCCGGGGGGGGGGGGGGGGGGGCCACCCCAGGGAAAGAATGCGCTTTGCTTGCACCCTCTTTCCCTCTCTTCCAAGTCATGCTTCCTCCTGTCTTGCTTGCCTCTTCTAGGAAACCTTCCCTGACTACCCCTCCAGACCTCTCTGGGCTCCTCTCCTTCCTGCATGCCCCAAGCCCAGGGGGGTGCTGCCCTCAGGAGCCTGGTGGGTCTTCTGCCAGGCCTTGGCTGTGGGGTCCCCCTGCCCAGGAAGCTCTCCCCACCACAGAGAAGCCCCTGACCAGTCTCCACCCCAGCCTATACACAGCCACTCCTGGGGTCCTGCTCCCTGACAGGGACGGGGACGGGGGAGGGGGGCAGCCTGGGCACCCACAGCCCCCAGGGTGCCCTACTCCCCCCATCCTTCCTTCTGTTCACTGTTAGTGGGGCCCACCAAGAACAAAGGTCCAGTCTCCGGCACTGCACCCCAGGGGCTCTGATGGGGTGAGAGGGAGACTTGGCGGAGCCACATCTCCTGGAGGAAAGAGGAAAGATGACCCCCCACTAATCAATGGTGGGAGTGTCCTGAAGACCTGCAGCCAGTCCCTCTGGGGACCCTCTAGACATGTTCGTTCAATACAAAAGAAGTCCGTGATCAATGGTTTATTCCAGAGGGGAAAGCCCAAGCTGAATGCCCCCCTCCCCCCCCCCCCGCCTCGCCCCCTTGCCCCCAGGGCCCTTGGGAGGGATGGTGAGAGGAGGAAGGGCCCCACCTTGCTGCTCCTACTTTGGTCCCTCTCCAGGCCCTGCGCCCCATGACAGCGTGCGACATGGAAGGTCGTCAGAGGGAGGAGGAAGACGGATGGGGGCAGTGGATGAGGGTGGGGGGTGGTGGGTAAGCTACCCTTAGAAATAACAGCAGCAGTTACCTGGAAATTGCAAGTGACCAGCCGAGACACACCGTCCCCGGCCTGCTCACTTGCCGTTGCCAGGGAGGACACAGAACAGCAGGATGACCGGATTCCAGAGGGAAATGGCATGTCCCTTGGGCAGCTGGGCCACGAACTATGTTCATGGATGGATTACATCATGTTGAGGGAATTGCTTATCTCAGGAGGTAGAAGAGGGACCTATCTTGGCTAAGACCATCCTTGCAGCCAGGAGAGCCCATCCCCAGGGACCTCAGGACTCCGCGCGGTTACAGTGACTCCCGGCAAGGTGGGGTGCTGCTGAGACGCTTCGAGCTTCCCCTCCACGGCGGCCCCGGGCTGCGGGCTCGGCCAGGCTGGGCACTGAGGGCCGGTCTCCTGATGGGGCCGGGCCGGTGGGAAGGAGAAGTTGGGCCGACGTGGATGGGAGACGGGCAACTATCCTGGCCAAGCACCTACTGACCACATCACGGGGAAGGATTCTTAGAGAGAAACGGCCAACAGGCCTCACAACAGCAGGGGCATGGGTGGGAGAGGCAGGCTGCCACCACGTGGGCGCTGGCAGTCCCACCCAAGAGGAGGGTGGTGGGTTAGGGGAGAGAAGCCCACCTATCTCCCACCCCTGCAATGGCTGGTCTCTGAGCACAGGAGAGATGGTGGCCATTAGAAGTCCCAAAGCTAGAGAGGGGCCTGGATGGGGCCTGGCTGATGGGGGGGAGGAGGAGGGGGTCCCCCTTCCACGCAGATGAGCACAGTAGCAAGAGCAGCAGGATCAGCCGGGGAGGGCAGGGGTGCCAGGGCCTCGGTGTGCTGCCTGTCTGGAACTCACGGGGCCTCATTGGACCCCATCCCATTGCCTTTGTTGACATAGAAGGGCCGGTAGTGAGACTGTTGGGGAGGGGAGGGAAACAAGAGTAGTTAGGGAGGGCAGATGGCAGCGGAGCCGACCAGCCAGACCCACCCTAGCCTCACCTCCCCCCCCGGGGAAGCAGCAGTCCTCTGAACCCATGGTTCTAGGGGCCCGTGGCCCAACCCGCAGGCTCTATCTACCCAATATTATCAGAGTCTCCGGGTTCATATCCCACTCAGAGTTCATTCCCGCCAGCCGGCTGACGAGCATGAACCTCAGCCCCTCATCCAACCTCCACTCCGTGGCCTAGGAGCCCCCCTCCCTGCCCCAGCACCACCAGCTCCCTTTCGCACAGCATTTTCACCTCTCCAGAACTGTGCCGTGCCGTTACGTGTGCCTTGTATGGAAGGACTCATGGGGTTTTTACAGCCGCCCAATTAAGTGGGTTACTATTATCATGTCCATTTTATAGATGAACAAATCAAGGCACAGAGAGGCTAAGCAACTTGCCCAAGGCCACCCAGGTGGTGAGTAGGGGAGCTGGGGTTTCGGCCCCCGGCACCCCGCCCCCCCAGCTCCCCCCCGCCCCCCCCCCCAATCCCACCCACATCTCCAGATTACTCCTTGTGTCTCAAGGGCGTCAAGCATTTGCTTCTGGTCTCTCTGCATGATTCCTCTGACAGAGAGGGTGCAGAGAAGGCTAATAACTGCCCAGCCCAACATGGAGGTGGGGTCCCCAACCCCAGCCCCTTTGCCTCTCTCATTCTGGCCCCTCATTCAGGTAGCGGCCTCAGCACAGAGCCAGCAACAACCTTCCCAGCTCTGCTCTGCTCCCAGTCAGCTCCCTGGGGCCCTGAGAAATCTCCCTCCAGCAATAAGGAGGCCGGGGTAGCTGCCACTTAACCTATGTGAGCACCCTCAGCCCTCCGTGGAGCTCTGGAAGTGGCTTTGACCCTAAACTGGGTCAGAGACGGAACCCACCTCACACTCCATTGATACCACTATAGGAGACACCGGGATGTTTCCAGCCCCTGCCTTTAACCTTGCCTGCCTGGAAACTTGTATCTCCTAGTAGCTCCTTGCCTACGTCGGCCCAGAGCAGGACTTGGGGGGCCTATGGAATGCAGCTGCTGAGCCCTTAGCTCAGACCTTGGTTAAACCACTTATGAAACAAATGCAAGAGACAGAGGCACCCAGGACAGAGAAAGACATAACCAAAGCCGCATAGCTACTCAGTACTACCCAGAGTAGTCAATAACAGCCCTAGAAATGGCTCAAGCCTTTCTTTCTGGAAGGCTGGGTCACTAAAGTGGATCACAGATCACTGGATGGTGCTGTCCCATGAAGATCCCAGAGCGGTGGGTGGGCAGGAACAGAGCTCCGTTGCGTCTGGGCCGGGTGCTCTCCCCATCTCCCCAGCCTGCCCCCGTCCCCTCCCTGGTTCAGGGTCACAGCACGTCAGAGCTGGACGGGCTATAGAATCATCCAGGCCCCCGACTCCTGTTGCAGTTGTGAGAACTGCAGCAGAGGAAGAATGGCTCACAGGAGGCCACACAGCAAGTGGGTACAAGGGTGAGGGCCACACCCCAGGCATCCTGACTCCCAGGACAACCTCCCTCCCAAGTGAGCACCTGCATCTGTTCTTCTGGCGCTGCATGCTAGCCACAGACATGGGAACCCTGCCCTGCCAAGCAAGTGTCTCAGGATGAGCTTTCTCTGCTGAGACCCAGGCCCTGGGAGGTGGAAAAGGGTGTGGTAGGGAGGGCAAGGACTGAGTCCAGGAGCAAAACCCCTCTTTTTTTCCTCCCCATGTCTGCTTTTTGCATTCCTGCTCTTGCAACGCCCCTGGGCCCAGCTCCAAATTACACACACAATCGCTTAGCTCCCATCACCAGCAAATTAAAGATTCTCTCCAATTAAACCAGCCCCAGTTGCTGTGGCCTGGAGCAAATCACCTCCCCATGCTCTGACCTCCAAATGCAAAGACGGCAGGGAGCTGGGGACCACAGCCCCTGTCCCCAGCCAAGCCCCTGCTGCCACCCGTATCCCAGGGCAGCTGTCTGTCTGCCTCGGCCCCAGGAGAGAAGCTTTCAGGGTGGAGGAGGCATAGCCTGTGAAGGAAGGCCCTGCTCACTGAGGTCCTGGGTGGGGGTCAGGTCGGAGGGGCATCAGGGACCACCGTATCTCAGTACTGCATTACAAACAACGGAAACAAAGTCTCAGAGAGGGAATCTGACTCACCTAGGATCCCCTGAGCTGGCCGGACCCCAAAGCCACACTCCCCTCTTTTGTGGTTCTTCAATTCCCAGTTCAGGGGCATTAGCATTGAACCCCTAAATATCTCTATTCCTGACTTTACAGCCTCTGCCTCACCACACTATCACCCCAACGGCCTCTGTGCTGTCAGAGCTGGGGAATGGCCCCAGGAAGGTGGGACCCATTATTAGGACATCCATCCCCTGGACTGAGCATTTCACACTCGCAGAGCTGATGGGGACAAAGTCCTCATTCAGCAAGTACAGACACCCAGCAACCATTTGCCAAATGAAAGAATCAGGGCTGCCCACTTTACAGATTAGAAAACTGGGGACCAGAAAGGGCATGCTTACCCGGATCCACTGCCTGTTAGCCCTGGGTCTCTGCTACATTTGCTGAATGTGGGAATTCAGGCCCTGCCGCCCCCTCCCTCTGTCCGATGGCCCAGAGTGGTCACATTCTCCCACCACCTCCCCTGGGCGATTGATGACCAGCTGCCCCCGGGGAGCCCCATTCAGTGCCCATTCGGGACATGCCTATGCCCAGACAGGCTGTCCTGGCAGCCCCTCACTCACCAGCAAAGTCTGTTTGCCAGATTTCCAAGTCTGGGGCTGGGCCTTGGGGCTTTGGCTCCTGATGAGGGAAGGATAGCCTGCAGAGACAGGAGGCACTGGTCGGAGGAAGCAGGGCTGGCCGTTGGGCCTCCAGGGCCACAGCAGCATGGGTACCTTCTCCAAAGTGACCACCAAGCTCCAGCCAGCCCACTACCAAGTGCAGCGACCCCTGAAGAGATATGCAGCAGCTGGGGAGTGGGTACCGGGGAAAATCCTGGGGAGGCTGGCCAAAGGGAGGAGGCACCCAGGCAAACAGAGGAAGGAGGAACAGGCCAGGTGGGCTGGGCCGGGCGGCAGGGGAGTGTTGCCCCCAAATCCAGGTCAGGATCAGGATCACATTACTCCGCAAGGATTTCCCCCCATCAGCCCTGAAGGTTCACACCACTGACCCCGCCCCTTCCCATGAGCACAACTGGCCAGGGTTTCCACCAGGAGGCGCCCTTTCCAACGGCCCATGCTGCGTGGACGGTGCTCCCCTTTTACCACGGTGCAGGACTTCGCACAGGTCTTCTCCTTAACCCTTACCCCGTTTCTGGGAGAAGTTTGCCCTGAGCTGCACCGCCAGGAAGCGGCAGTCAGGATGCGAACCCAGGTTTTGCCGGATGCTGAAGCCCATCCTCATGTTCCTCCTGCCTGGTTCCAGGGCCTCTCGCCTGTTCTAGCAGCAGGAGGCTGGGGCCAGGGACAGGCAGTCATTTGCCACGTGGCTAAGGTCAATGGTTAAGACCGCAAGCCCACGGGGCCCGGAGCACGTGGGTGCTATCTGGGCCTGGTCCCCCCGCCTGCCCTGCCCCCCCTCAGCCCAGTGGGACCTGTAAGGAGCTCTGGGCCACAGAACTGTGGGAAGCACTCTCAGTCCCAGCCATGGGCCTGCAGGGACCGGCCTCGGGGTCTGGGAAGGAACAGACTATGACCCCGACAGGAGAAGCTCGAGAAATAAATAGGGTCTTGTCCTTGGCTGGGGCAGCCGGGAGCCCCATTCTGGCTGCTCTAAGGGAGGATGAGCCGGCCAGGCTGACCCTTCCCTCCGTTTGCATTTAGCAAGAGGGTGGAGACGGAGCAGAGAACCGGGGTCTCTCCCTTTATCTGGGGGTGGGGGGTAGCCTTGGAAAGAGAGGGTTCCACGGGTCCTGAGTGGGAGTTGGAGAGAGGGGGAATTCAGATCTCAATTCTCAGTTCGCAGAAAGAAAAACCCACGCCAGCCACGCATGAGAGAGGTGAGGATGGGGGCGGGGGGTGGTGGTCCAGAAGACCAGCCTTGTGCAGCAGACAGAAGTCCCGTGGAAGGGTGAGCTAGGGATGGTGCTGGGGGTGGGGGTGATGCATCCCTCTTCCAGCAACTCTGGGGAGGAGGACCAGGACACCCTAGAAGTGGCAGAGAGCCCCAGAGTATGTCCCATCTGCCCTGCTGTGGGAGAGAGAAGGGGAGGGAAGACAGGCAGATACCAGGATTATTTTTAAACCGCCCACTGCCGTCCAGTGGTTTGGAAAACTCTGTGGTGGCCTGTCCCAAGGTGGTGAACTGATAGGGGGCTTTCCCAGCGCCTGCTGGGAGAGAGAGAGGTATTAACAGCACAGCCTGGTCCCAGGAGGGGCCAGCAGGAGTCATACCTCACCCTGGGGCGCTGAGATGCTGGAGCCTCCCTCCAGGACTGCTGGAGTAGGAACAGGTGGGGGCCATCCTCACGGGCGGGGCTCCGTGTACTTGAGGAGCGGCTCTCCTAGGGCAAGGTCTTTGCCGGGGGGGGGGGGGGGGGGGGTGCGCTGCAAGCCGATGGGGAGATACTGGGGAGCATGAAAGCTCCAAATCACACCAGGGGTGACTGTCTTCCCTGACCCGTAGCCTTTGATCTAGGCTTGACCAGAGAGCAGGGAGGGACCACTGGGAGCCAGACAGGTCAAGGCACGTGCCAGAGTTTCCCAGGCCTGGCTTGGGGAGAGGACATCCCTGGGGGTCTCGCAGGCTGGGTCCCCCCAGTCCTATTCACCTTCTAAGGTGAGCAAGGTTAGCTGGTCCTTCCAGGAATCCCTGCCCTGGGGATAGGCTGGGATTCCAGCCTGGAAGGGACAGCTGAATGATAAAGCCACCTTCGGAGGCCACTGCTTGGGAGCCTGCTGCCCTGCCCTCTCTCCTCCCTCTCCCTGACCCCAGCCAGCCTGGTATTCTTGCATCCAGGCCAGATGTCTCAGGCGTCAGAAGACAGACTGGCTTACACCACAGCCCACAGAGCTGTCCCTAGGGCCTTTCAGAAGAGACATGAGGGGCCTGGCCAACTCAGCCTGGTCCGGGGAGCTGAGTCAGACTCGGGAGGCTTTAGAGATCTCGTCTAGTCCTGCCTTTCTGGAAAAGGGCCTGACAGGACTCTGGCTCTGCAGGATGTCGGCGGCTGCTACGTGGCCACAGTGTTCTAGAGTCAACAGGCCGGCCAGAGCTGGCTGAACAAAGTTAAACTTTCTGCAGCAGGAGGACTCAGGTAGGCCTGATGGAAGCCCGCTGGGGATGTCAAGGGCAGGGGTGTCGAGGGTGTGGTGTCCCCACCTCCTTGACAGTGCAGATCATTGTTAGGGACCAGCGTTCACTGAAACAAGCCCCGGGCCCAGCCTTCCCTGACAGCTGAGACTGGGATGGAGGAGGCGGCTCCCTGGCTCTCAGGCCAGGGTCTGTCCCTCCAGGGTGGGTGGCCGGTGAGGGAGGGAGCGGAGCCCAAAGCAGAGCTTGGAGAGGGTCAGGAAAGGCAGGCAGGGTAGGGAGAGCTCACCTTTCAGGGAGAAGGAGGAGCTGCCTTGGACTGCAGGCCCGTCGTCAGAGTTCTGAATGGTGGAGGAGTATTCCCAGACCCTGGAGCTGTAGTTACCTGGGGGGCACAGCAAGGCGCATCAGACCCGGGCAGCCTCGTGTGGGGGTGGCGGGCAGGACGAGACCATTTCTGTGAATCCACCCAGCCCCTCGGCATGCTGCCTGCCAATCCTTCCCTCCATCAAAGTTGTCCTAAACCCCCGAGTGTCCACCCGTCCCTGCCGCCCCTGAAGGCCCACTGTGCTCAGACTCAGGTACCTAGTCCTTAACCAGCACACAGCTGATTTCGGGGGCTGCTGCCTGCCTGCCCCCCCTCACCACCACCTCCACTTCCTGGCTTCACCTCCCTCAGCTCCTCTCTGACACCCCACCTCCCATCCAGGCTGCCTCTGAGCTCCTGCCAACACTCCAGGCTCTTTCTTTTTTTTTTTTTTAATTCTTTTGTTGTTATGTTAATCACCATACATTACATCATTAGTTTTTGATGTAGTGTTCCATGACTCATTGTTTGTGCATAACACCCAGTGCTCCACGCAGAATGTGCCCTCTTCAATACCCATCACCAGGCTAACCCATCTCCCACCCTCCTCCCCTCTAGAACACTCAGTTTGTTTTTCAGAGTCCATCGTCTCTCATGGTTCGTCTCCCCCTCCAACTTACTCCCCTTCATTCTTCCCCTCCTGCTATCTTCTTTTTTTTTTTCCTAACATATATTGCATTATTTGTTTCAGAGGTACAGATCTGTGATTCAACAGTCTTGCACAATTCACAGCGCTCACCAGAGCACATACCCTCCCCAATGTCTATCACCCAGCCACCCCCACCCCCCCACCCCCCCCCCCTCCCGCAATCCCCAGGCTCTTTCTTGCCCTAGGCACGGTGCAGCTACTCCACCTACTTCCCATCCGTAACGGATGTGTTGGGTCTTCTGGTGTCAGCTTCCCTGACCTCTTCCCCCAAGTCTGTGTGTGCCTCAGCCCCTAGGCCTCACGTCACTCCGCTCCCCATTTGTCACCCCCGGGTTATAGTGGCAAGTTTAATTGGGGGCAGGGGACATGCCTGTCTGGCCCAGCATCACATCCAGTGCCTGGTGCGGAGCCTGGTCCCTAGGAGATTTCATTGTATGGTTGATGGGTGAATGAAAGAACAAATAAACAAATAAATATAAACACATGCTAAAACTTGGGGACAGAGGCAGCTGGTACAAGTCCTGAAATTCTGTTTGCCAAGTGGAAGAGGCTGCCAAGGGTCTGTTTGGAAGGATGCCCCTGCAGTCTAGAGGAGAGAGGCAGTGGGGAGGGTGCAGAAGGAACAGCAGGAGCACCATGAGGGTATTCGAATCTGGGGGCTTCAGAGCCCCCCACGGATGACGCACCTGCCCCAGGCCCACCCTCTCAGCAGCCCGGCCCCTCCTTCAGGCCCTGGGATTGCAGCAGTGAGCCAGAGAGACCCAGCTTCTGCTCTCCCGGAGTGCACAGTCTACCATGCATGTGGGAGTAACCACGGGCATCCAACCCTGACACAGAGGCCTGGCCATTGCCCTGTCTACAGGTGCCCCTGGCCCTCCAGATCTCTCAGGGCCCTGAAGAGGCCCCCCACTCCCCTCCTGAGACCTCCCGGGGCCATGTCGGGTGGAGCTGCCCCAGGCCCTCCCTCCCTGCACATGTCTAGAAGGCACCCCAGAGCCTCCAAAACCCTGGGCTCTTCGAGCGCATGGCCACACACTTGGCACAAGGGTGCCCTCGCTGCGCTGGGCAGAGGGGTGTCTGTGCTCAGCAGCTGTCCCTGAGGAAGCCACGTCTCCACCCCTCAATCACCTTTTCTAGGTCTTAAGGACGTGTCCCTCACCTGGCATGGCAGCAATACATCCTGGATCTCCAGGGACGGCCCTGCTTTGTGTCCTGCCATCCATCCCGCTTACAGAAACTCTAATCTGTCTTAACCACCATGATTTCTCAACGCAGATGTACACCCATCAGTAAAGGGCCCAGGTCCACTCCAGGTCCCTGGGTCACAACACTTGCTAAAGGAAGCTTCTACACATAACCCCCGCTTCCGGTTTCCCTGACTCACCATTCAGGGAGAAGATCATATGGACTCAGGGATTTCCAGGCTGCCTCTCCACAGCCTAACTGAGGATGTCACACACCATCACACACACACACACACACACACACACACACACACACATGCACACACACACACACACACACACACACACTTTGAGCTCAGTAGGACTCCTCCCTGCCTGTCTCTGGGCCCCTAAACCCATCCCACCTCTCTACATTCCCCACACATTGGGGAGTCTCCGGCCCCTGGCCCACCTCCCACAGGCCCTGCCCCTCCTGTGCTGAGCCACTCTCTCACCTTTGGTGCCATAGAGATTGTTGAAGTTCTTCTGATTGGTCTCCTTGGAGAGGCGGCTGGGGGACCCCGGCCGGTAGGCTGTCCTGGCCCCACCTGTGAAGCAGATGAGCTGAGTCGGCTTCAAGGCAGCCCTGTGGCTTCTGACTTGAGGGGGTTATGGGGAACTCTTTGTCCCCAGACAGCTCCCATTGCCTGTCCCAGGACCCGGGGTTCCACCACTAAGACAGCTCCTCTGGGTCTAGATTAGGCAGCTGCTTAATTTGCCCTCCTAATCAGGACACTTAAGAGTGAAAGGAAGACTATTAGTAAGTAAGCAGGAGCACCTGGAGCCTCCTGCATAGACAGGGACGTATGGTCACCCTACTTGGGTGGCTTTGAGGATCACTAAGGCTGGAGAAGCCGACACCTCCCTCCTGAGCCAGTCCCTGTGTGACGGAGACCCCAGAGGCTGGGAGATGGGGTGCCTGTGACAAAGAAGGATCATGGCAGCTGTGGGGGGGGCCACCGGTGTTGGGCCCTTGGCCAGGTGAGGGCTCGCCAGTGATGATGAACTGGTGGCCACAAACATCTCTCAGGTGCTCCCCCTCCAGGGACAAGACCTCACATTGCTCAGGAGCCTCCAAATTTGGGTTCTCAGAACAATTTTGAGAGGCTGGCAGAGTGGGCTCCATACCCCCACTTTACAGATGAAGAAGGCATGCTCCCCACATGTGTCCAGGTCCTTCGATCAGCTCCTCCCCTCCCACCTAACGAACACCCCGCTCCCAGATCTGGCCTGCCTGGCCAAGCACCTGCTGGTCCTTCTGTAAGCCTCTGCACCTGTGGGTCCTCTCACCTGGGTGGCCTCTGTCCATCATGGTCATGCCTCTTTATTGAGCGCACTGCCCCTCTTTCAGGGACCTGGAAACCAGCCTCCACTGGGAAGTCTTCCTGCCTGAGCCCACTGCCCCAGAGCCCCCAGACTCATGCCAGTGGCCCTTGGGTGGCCTTGTCTCCCGATCCCCTTGCTGACTCTCCCTGGCCCTTCCCTTGCCTCTACCCTGAGCCTGGGAGCTCCCAGAGGGCAGATTTCCTCCTTCCTCCTGTCCTCAGTGCAAGGGCAGGGACACTGGATGAACCTGTTTCTTCCACCTACAAATATCACCGCCTGACTCAGTGACAAGCTGAAAGACTTCCTAGCATCTGAGCCGAATTTCTCTCCTCTCAGGCCCAAGGTCCCCAGGTCCTGGCTCAAGGGCAATATCTTGGCAGGTGTTCCTCCCTCTCTCCCCTGTTGCTGCTCTGTTCCTCTCCCCATGACCTGCAGTGGAACCCACACCCCCCTCAGTCCCCTACGGAGCTGGGGGAGCCAAGCAGGGACCAGCTGAGGGGATCAATGCACATCGGGATCCTCAGAAGGACCGACGAGGGCGAGGGACACTGGGGAGGCTGGTTAATGCCGCTCACCGGCTCAAGGACTAGGCCCCAAGGACAGCGCCCTGGGAAGGGAAGGGGCCAGGCTGGCTGGCCTGGCCCACACCAAGAATGTGGGGCAGGGGGGCACTCGGCTGCCCAGGTGCCTCGCCAGGCCTTTGCCAGGGTCCAGCTGTTGTTTTCAAATTGGGTGGAGCAACAGAGGTTCCTCCTGCTGAGCTCATCTCTAAATCCCCTACGCCCTTCCCATGGTGTGTGCGTGTCTGAGGTATATGAATCAGCGCTCAGGCCTGGGGGCTCCCCAGTCCCCAGCCCCTTCCCCACATCTCCTGTCTCCTTTCTCGCTTTTCCCCACACCCCACTCTTCTGAAGACCACCTCATCGTGTGCACACGCGCACGTGCGCACACACACACCCTCTATTTGAGGGCTGACACGCCTGGCACACACACCTCCCCCCTTATGTAACGGTCATTGTTGTGGTTTGTTGCTGGTGCAAAAAGAATGCAATAGGTTTCCCCAGGGCAAAGACAGGCAGGCTCTGGTCTATACCTCCACCCAGGGTGACACAGGCCGGGACCACCCAGGATCCAGAGAGGGAGGGCTAAGGGCCAGGCTGCATGCCGGGAGGGAGAGGTGAGGAAAGGTAGACCAGCTGGCTGTCTCCCTGCCCTTGAGGAGCAGAATGGCCCTCCCCCAGGACTACAACAACGCAAGCAGAAGCAGAACCCAGCTCAGGCCCGGCAGATGGTTGCTGGAGAAACTAGCAGCCAGGAGACCCTCTGGAAGGAAAGGGAAGGACCTGTTCAGACCGGAGGCAGGGACTGGAGGGGAGGGAAGCCAGGAGGGGCAGGTTCCGGTAATTTATCTCTAACCCGGATGCTTCTGAGGGAGGAAGAGGGGACTGTTTTTGCTTCCACCGGGATAGCAGGTATGTGCCCGGACTTCCGCAGGCAAACCCAGTGACGGTCACTCTGGCAAGGTGGAATCCGGCTGAGTCTCCGGGCCCATGGCCCTGAGGGGCAGGCTGCTCTCTCTTACCCTTGGGTGTGAGGTACATGGAATATCTCTTCATGGTATCAGGTGTGCTCCACTCGCTCGCATAGCTGTTAGTGTAGTTGCTCATGTAGCGATGGTCAGCCCCTGGGAGGGACAGAGGTCGGTCACTAGAGGGGCGGGTGGGGAGAGGCGGGCCCTTGGGGGCATCCTTGGGCTCTGCTGAGTCAGCCCACAGCCCCTCTGTCCCAGGCAGAGGCAAGGTTCTCCAAACTCAGAGAAGACCACGCCCTGCCCAGCATCCCCTCTGCTCCTGAGCTGCTAGGACGTGAGAGAGGGTCTGCAGGGAGCCATCTACTTCCTTGGGCTGACCCTCATGAGTAAGACCATAGGCACAGCACTTTGCAGTTTACGAGGTGCTACCGACATCCATTTCTTATTTGTTGTGTACGCCAACCCTTGGGCTGGAATGGAGATCCTCACGTGACAGACCAGGAAACCGAGGCTCAGGAGGTAAGTGAAGCGATTTGCCCCATGTCACATGGCCAATAAGGGCAGAGTTGGGGTGTGAGCCCTCAACCCTACGTCCTCACTTTGTCCCAGCCACTGTCAGCAGCCCACAGGGATGGAATGAGGTCCTAGCGTCGGCCTCCATGGCCAGGGATCCAGCCAGCGGAGCAGAGATGCGCAGAGGGGAGTGAGCTGTGTGGGAGGGGCACTGACTCTTCCCACTCCACTCCCCAGCCACCAGTATACCCTCAAACCCAGACAAATCGGTGGTGCCACGCTTGCCTTCCGCCAGCTGCCCCCCACCCCATTCCTTCCCCATCTTCTACATTGCCTCTGCCCTTTCCTCTCCCTCTCCCCTGGGCAAGAGAAGGAATGAGTGGTTCAGGCCCTTATCCTTCATCTCCATCACCTGTCCCTAGCAGGGGTCTGACACACAGTAGGGCACTCCACGACATACACGTGTCCTCCCAGGTGTTGGCCCAGCCCTCCCCACAGTGCTCCCCACCCCTGCCTACCCCACAAGCTCAGGATGGGGGTGGTCAGTCCCTGGGCCTTTGGGGGTAGGACTGAGTCCCTGTTCTGATGGGTAGACTGGCATCCAGGAGGAGAGGAGGTCTGACTCACTGGCCTCCCATTCCCCCCCTACCCTGCCCTATAGCCAGACACACTCCCAACAACAATATGGCAGCAACCAACAAACCAACATGGAGGCCCAGGGCCCCAGGCACAGGTGCAGGGCTGCTTACATCAGCAGCACCCATCCTACTCTTCACGGCGTCTCCCTGCACACTTTGCACAGGACACAGGGCCACACCTGCTCAGAGGCCATGGTCAACACAATTGTGACCTAGAAATGGCACAGTGGACGACGGGAGGCAGGCAGAGGTCCCTGCAAGGCTCACAGGCAACCCTGGCCCAATCACGGCCACCCTCCTCCATCTGGCCAGACCTCGGTGGAGGGGCTCCACCCCTGGGTTCGTACCCCAGGGACCATGATCATCACACTCCCCAACCGCTCTGCATGGCCACCAGCCACAGCAACTTCTCGGATGGGAAGACACGGGAGGCTGCGTAGCAGAGCGTGAATCCTAACTACAGCCCCTGCTCAGCTGCGTGCCCTTTGAAAAGCTACTTCTCTGAGCCTCAGCCTTCTCATCTGTGAAATGCGGTGCATCCTGCAGGGAAAGTAAGCCACAGAAAGTAAAGAGCTCACACAAAAGCCAGCACGCCAGGAGTCCTCAGTCACTGTCAGCCACCACCGCTAATGCCATCCTCATTGTCATCAGAAGGAGGATTTCTGGATCTGAAAGCCGCTTGAAGCCTAACGATTGTCTTGCTGCAGTGGCTCATGGATCCTCAGGTGTGACTGAATGTCCCTCACATTTCACAGGGACTCTGTGTGATGTCACCATCACCAAGATATATGGATGCCCCCCCCAAGCCCCAGCACATCGGCACTCTATTATCCCCTCCTCATCCCCAAAGAATCACATGCTCCGCCTGGAGACAAAACACAGGGACCGCTTCCTTTTGGGTGTTTGGGGCCAGAAGTGTCCTTAAAGCCCTGTGTTGGGCCTCGGCCACTGGTTGGGGCCTTGTGGGAAAGTGCTCCGGCTTCAGGCCCTGAAGGGACCGGGCTGGGCTGGGCTGGTGAGAAAAGACTTAATGGATTAGTCTCTCAGATGAAGAAGCTTTCGGTGAGGTGATTCAGTTGGCCTCCGTGGGGGACGGGACAGCATGACTCAGAAGAGAAGCTGTCTCTAGGGGAGCGGGTGAATCACTGAGACACATGTGTCCCATTGTCCCCAGCCCAGCCCTCGAGGCCAGGTCCAGCCTCCGGGTTCCACACCACTCAGTGCGGCCATGGTGACAGGTCAGGTCTCCCTCCCAGCGTGACGCAGTTCTAGGTCACGTCTATTGGAGTCCGCCAAGTCACCAGGTTAGCACCTGGCCCTCACAAGTGGCAGCATCGACACGGCTGCTGGGTTGGGCCCCATAATCCGATGCAGCTCTGAATGAAATCAGTCTGTGAGTTTGACGGATGACCCACAGAGAGGAGGTATTTGTGCAGCTAATGCCCAGATGCTTGCTGCCCTTGGGGGCCCTCAAAACACCACATAACCTTGGCAGCCGATTCAATGGAGGGTTACAATCCCTGAATCCTAGTCCCAACACCTTGTGTAGGACGGGTGGTTTGGAACAATGAGAGGCCGGCTGGCCGGCTAGCTAGATGCCAGCCCAGGCAGCAGGGATCGGCCTGGGAGGAAAGTGCCCATGGTCGTGGGGCAGGCCCACAGAGGAGACCTACCGTTCTCCATGTGGTTCCTCTCGATGAAGTTACGGCTCAGGTCTGCCTTGCACATCTTCTCAACATGGCGCATGCACACGTTGAGCAGGTCATCCTTGAAGTTGCCAAGTGACTGTCCCAGGCCCTCCCCCTCCAGCAGAACATGGTAGGTGGGCAGGGGTGGGGGGAGGGAGTAATTGCTCATCAATGCACCAAATTCCTACCAAGGAAGGAAAGAAGCCATTAACCTTCTAGGTCTTTAGTAGCTACGGGGACACTTCTCTGCAGGGAGCTCTCAGTCCGGCTGGAAGGCTCAACAATGGGAGCCTTGTGCGTTCTAGATACAGCTCGGCTATGAACTAGCTCCACTTGTCCTCACCTCGTACCTTTCTCCTTCTGTAAAATGAAAGGGTTTGACCAAACTCCACTAGATGCTAACATCCCTGATGGTGCTAGTAGTCCGATATATGACTCCGCGGTTCCCACCTCTTCAACTGGACACGTCATCCCACCTCACAGGGGTTTCTGAGAGCAACACAAGCTGTGACATCTTTGGGAGTGAAAGTACTAAGGAGATGCAAGGTATTTCTAGAATGTTCCGGGTCAGTCATGGTGCGACCTCCACCTTTACATACTACCCTCTAAGCCTGCCTCTGCACTTTGTGCTTCTCACCTCCCTTCTCCCCTCACCGGAGAGTCCCTCCTCTTTCTGAAACCTTTATGGGCTTTCAAGACCCAGTTCAAATTCCACCTTCTCCACAAAGCTGTATTAGATCACTCCAACATGCTTGCCCTTCCCAGAGCTTCCATGGGCACTTATCTCCTGAACCACACACCTTATCATTTAATTACATACTCTTCTGTATTGCTCTCTAATTGTACAGGTCTTATCTTCCCAGCTGGACTGCAGCTCCTTGGGGGCAAAAACCATGTCTTATACTTCTCTATTCTACACAGCATCTACCAGAGTCCTGGGCATGCAGTGGTACCCGAAACACTCTAGCAGTTGGAAGGATGAGTGGATGAATAGACAGACAGATAAGGTCAAGGATAACACACAGGCAGCACTTCTATGCCATGCCCCATACCCAAAGCAGACCTCACTAATCAACGCCACAACTCTTTCCTACTGAGCCTGGAGCACTATTAGTACATATCAACTGAAGTTGGTACAAGGTGATATTTGCGTGCCATCTTTGGGGTAGGTAGGGAAATGGCTTGGCTAGAAAAATTAAATGGGCAGATGGAATGGAGCTTGGAAGGAAGGAAGGAAGGAAGGAAGGAAGGAAGGAAGGAAGGAAGGAAGAAGGAAGGATGGATGGATGGATGAAGGTTCTGGGAAAGTGGATGTAAGGATTGAGGGATCGAATGGTAGAGGAGTTGCTTTGTACCTGCAGAAACAGCACCGAGTCACTGATGCTTTGCATCTGCTCCCTGGTCTGCTTGTCCTCATGCAGCACCTTGGCCCTCTCGTCCAGAGCATCCATGATCACCTTTATTTGGTCCACGGCATCCTGCTCCCGCTGTTCTAGTGCAGCCCTCACTTCCTCCTTTTGCTTCTCCAGGTCCCGCACCAAATCCTGGAAGTTTTGCTCCAGGAGAGCCTTCTCACTGGTGGTGAAGCTCTGGGTCCAGAGTGAGAGGAGAGAGGAAGGAGGGTTTTGGGAATTTTAAAAACCTCCTGAGTGGGGTGTATCTTTAGGTTCCCAACCCAGAGTCAGAACCAGGGCATTTCTACTGCCCCAACCCAGCAAGCCTGTTTGGCTAAGGGTCCCATTCAAAGGCATCTTTGAGGGATGCCATTCTATTGACAGAGATGGCCAGGTTCATTCACAGCCCACTCTTCTTTATCTGTCTGTGACTCCTCCCCTGGGTGGGTTGACTTGAGCCATCATTCCAACCTTGGGCGACTCCATGGACCCAGAAGACCCCCCATGGGCCAGGTGGCGCTCAATGAAACCTCAAATAGAACGAAACATCATTCAGAAAGTGAATTGACAGGCTGTTTATGTAGCCAGGGACAAGAGTCAGTGATTTCAGATTGTGGTTTGCAATTACTCAAACCATGGCAGACATGTATCCATCCAGCCATACTGGCACCAGTAAAAGGACAACGTCATGCATTTGGTGGCTGGGTGGTCTGGCGGACAGAGTAGACACTGGAGGACACACCGGAGGACAAGTTGATCTAGGGTCTTTATTTGCTGGGATGGTGTCAACTGAGCATTAGCTGACGGGCAAGATTCCACCGGAATGCCTGGCCTGGACTTAGAAAGGGAATCGGTGGGGATGCCAGAGGGGTGGGAGAACCCAGAAGAAAGAAGTATGAGGTATAAATGGGGGCCTGAGGCCTGGAGCAGGAGGCAATGCCTGCCCCCTCCCAGGCAGGACAGGCGGGGTGAGCATACAGCAAGGCCATGGCGCCGGGGGGCGGCTCACCTTGATGCGGTCCTTCTCCTTCTGCCACTTCTCAGCTTCATCCTCAATCTCGATGATCTTGAGCTGCAGCTGTTCTTTTTGCAGGGACAGCTCTGTCTGCAGGGAAGGAGCCAGGGTTAGAGAAGTCCAGCAGGGGTGGGGAGGTGGAGGAGCATCAGAGAATCAGGGAGTGGGCCCAGCCAGGGAGCCAACTTGGGCAGGGCTCACCACTCAGCCCTTCAGCCTGTATTCTGCAAACAGTCACTGGGACCTCGGATATGCCAGGCCCCAAGCCCGTCACCAGGGATCTGGCAACAAGTCGAACTGTTGGATGTATGTCGCTATAAACTCAGGCCTCGGGGGCTAGGCATCCCAGCCACGTCTTTATAAGGACTAAACCTCTGCCATGTCCCTCCACCCAAAGTGAGCCGGAAGGTTAGTTCACTTATGGGGTTCCCACTCCTTTCAATGGACCTGAGGCCACCAGGGAGGGAAGGAAGCTTCTACCTCTTTCAAGCTTCAGGCAGAAAGGGGACCCAGCCCAGCCCAGCCCAGCCCAGGGAGTGTCCCATGGCAGGAACAGCGTGCAGCATTTCTCTGCCATGACGTGGGGCCTGTGTTGCAAGCAGGAGCCCAGGCTGCAACCAGCAGGGATTCCGTCTGGACAGGAACAGCTATAAACCTGTTTATGGGAAAGGCAGCGCAGTCCACAGTTTGGGCAAGATAGGGACTTCTGTTCAGGGTCGGTGAGGTGGGGGAGGCTGGCAGTGAGCGAGGCAGTGAAGGGAGGAGGAGAGAAGACAAACAGACTCCAGGGATTCCCCGCTCAGGGGAGGACGCATGCTGCTGGGGTCTGGGGGTGGGGTTGGGAAGGGGACCGACGAGGTGCCTTGGGACATGAGCTCTAATGGGTACGGAAAGTACTGATAATATTTTCCTTCCATTGCATTAATGCCTTCTCTGGAAAGCAGCTACAACAGAGACAAAAGGGGAGGTGTGAAGCTAAGGCCAGGCCGACTCAGCCAGGCCAAGAGGCATCTCTTTGTTCTGCTGGGATCCCTGCCAGTGATCTCAGAACACCTTCCAACTTAGAAAGACTGGTGGGTGATCTCCACCCCGCAGGCAGGAAGACTAAGGCATCCAAGAATGCCTTGGGGTGCTCACAGTCTCCCCACTACCTTTTGAGCAGAGTTCCACACCTTTCTCCAGCTATCTCTTTGAGGAACCCACAAGAAAAGTCAAGATGAGGAAGCCACAAGCCACTAGGAATGTGAGCTCTGTTGGCAAGGAGTCCTGAGCGGGGTACAGATATGTCGCGCCCGTGGAGGGCTCCACCAGGCCGATGGGGTGCTGACTAGGGTCCCTCCATAGACACCCAGGGAAATGGATTGGGAGTGGAGAGAGCTTCCCTGGCTTTCTTGGAAAGGCTGCCCAGAGGGTCAGGGAGTTGGTGGAGAAGATGGGGAAGGCCCGGACCAAGAGCTGTGGAGGTCCCAGACAGAAAACCCCTGATCCCACCCCGCATCCCCCCTCTGCCAACACTCCTGGGCTCTCCAGGCAAGGAGACTTCAGGTTCACAGGTAGCATCTGCCCCACCAGCGGTGGGCGGCAAATCCCGCACCATGGTAAATGCCATCACCAGAGATGGACAATGATTGTCGGAAGGAAAGGAGTGAAAGGAGATGAAGGTGGGATTTGGCCTAGTTTCTGGAACAAAGCTGGGGAGAAGCCAGGTGCCAACAGACACAGTGCTGGGAGGGTGGAGAGCAGAGGACAGAGAGCCAGGACACAGCAGGTGGCAGATCCAGTGGCCTGGAAGGATCTGAGGTGTAAAGAAGAGACAAACGGCTGGATGATGGGTCTGTGCCAGGCGTCTTGCCCATCCCAGAAGAGCTCCTATGCAAGGGCCCAGGGGAAGGGGAGAGCCAGAAGCCACCCCACAGCAGCTGACACCTCCTGACCCGGCTGGGGGGGGGGGCATTGGTCCCTGGGTTTCTCAGCCCTACCTCAGCGCCCCCAGAACAAGGTCTGATGGATGGGAAAGCAGAGAACGGAAGTGCATTCACGCCTACCCGCCCCCCACCCGGGGCCTGTGGCCGAGGGTGGGGGAGGGCAGCCCTCCCATGAATGAGCACGGGGGAGCCAGGAGGGACCACACCCAGAGCTGGGACTGGGAGTCCAAACATTTGAATCCAGTTACCACCACTTTGGCCTCTGCAAGTGACTTAAGTTCTCTGTGCCTCAGTGGCTCTATCCTTCGTGCACGTAATGAGAGGTCTGCCCCCCAGAGGGCATGGGATGAGCTGGGAGCTGGGAAGTGAAGCTCTTAGAAAGTGCCTGGCACAGAGAGAGCCCCGGCCAGAGGTCCAGCATTGTGCTGTGCGGGGCACGGTCCATGGAGCCGTGCCAGGTGCTCTCCCTCCCGCCAGGCTTGGAAGAGAGGGTGCAGTGTGGCGAACAGGCCAGTGAGGCACAAGTGAGCAAGGGGGGGGGGTGGGCAGGTGTGATCAGGTGAGGCCTTGGTGGGGCTCAGCAGCGAGGACGGCAGGTGCCGCCGTATTGGGTCTGGGGATAGTGTGTAGGCTGTCGGGATACAGGGAGAAGTGTAGGCCCAGAGGCCTGCATCGTGGAGAACTGACACCTGGAGGACACTGGGGACAACAGAGCAGAGGGAGGGGGAGGGGGTGAGGGTAGGCTGGCCTTGCCAGTGGGAAACGGTATGGCCAGAGGAGTCGTGCGGAGTGAGCAGAGGCGCCGGGGCTACCTGCCAGGAGCCATGGGAGCATGGGGCAGGGTCGGGGCCTGCAGGTGAGAAGTCTCACCAGACAAGCACAGATTCCCTGGCCAAGAGCGAGTGCAAAGGAAGGGGGTTAGAACAATGAAGAGCCCAGGCCAAGGGCAGAGGGAGTCAGATCCTGGGGGTCCATCCTGCAGAAGAAAAGGAAGGAAGCAGGCAGCAGGGCTGGCTGAGGTATGACGAAAAGGGCCAGAGGTGTTGGCCAGTGACCCAGGAGGGGAGGGCGGGAGCAGCCGATAGGGAGGCATGCGAGGGCAGCATCGAAAGCAGAGACGCGCTGTCTGCAGCAGTGGGCAGAACACTCGGGGCGGAGGAGAGACTCGGCTCCTTATTTCTTTGGGGCATGGGGGAAGTCGGACCCAGGCTGGGAGGAGGCCTCGCAAGACCAGACTTGCAGGACACAGTGGGCCCGGGGAGGGGGCCTTGGACTGGGAGCTCCCTGTGGCTGTAAGGGTCCCTTTTCGCCTCTGGGATGAGGGCTCCCCTCTGCGGAGGAGGGCTTGGGGTGAGACCCCTGGGGGTGTACGCAGCATCTGTGTGGCTCTTGGCAACTGTTCCCTGCTAACAGGGCTGCCTGAAGCTGGAAAAGGCAGGATGTGGGAAAGAATATAACATAGGAAGGCTCCAAGATAGTGGGTTCCCCCACAAAACTAGGAGAAGGAACAACACTAATTGTATTATTGAGCACCAGCCTTTTTCTTCTTTCATCTGCAAGTGGTGTTACTCCATTTCACAGATGCAGAAACTAAGGCCTGAAAAGATTAGGAACTTTGCCTGAGTTTTCAGAGCTAGAAGGCCGTTAAGGCCAAGATGTAACAACAGGACTCGGATCTCATCTCATTACGTGCCCTCTTAACCTCTAGGCTCTTCTCTGAATCTTCCAGACATTGTTCCTCCCCTTCACGCCTGCTAACTTAAGCCTGCCTAGGCTCCCCCACCCCACAGATGGTACAGTTTGGCCATCCTGCCTCTTTCCTCGTCACCCGTTTTTCCTCCCCATACCCTCCTTCTCGCCCCCTGTGGCCCCAGCTCTCTCTCCCTCTCCCTCCTCCCTTGGTATCTGACAAAAGCCCCTGATATCTGATGGGGCCTCAGCTCCCCCACCCCTTCATCCCCATCTACACCTCCCTCCTCACTTCCTCCCACTCCCGGTTCCTTACCTCCACCCTGCCCAGGCCTGTCCCTAAATGCCTCCTTTGTTCCTTTCTCCCACACTCGTCCAGTTGCCTCTCGCTCTGTTGCCTGGGATGGGCACCGAGGAGACCACCCTGCCTGCAAATCCCTCTGGCCTTGGGGGAGCAGAGGTTTCCCTGAGAACAGAGTGATGGTACAGCAGCGGGGGGGGGGGGGCGCCCCATTCCGATGGGCCTTCTGCTGCAGACACACCTGAGCACTCACCTGGACAGGTGTTACCTGCACGGCCCCCAGGGAAGGGGGGATGAGACTGTGATCCTCCTCGGGCTTGACTTAACCACATGGGCCGTTGGCTCTGATATTTGCCAAATGAGCCAGTTAATTGCCAAATTTGTACTCTCAGACAAACGGTAATTATCTGGATAAGAATCTGAAATGCTGGATAGATTTCCCCATTTCCACCCAGATGTCAAATAGCCCAATACTAGTCTGAGGGATGGGGGCTCCCAGTGCCTTCTGCTTCCTTGGGTGTCAGGACAGGGACCGGGCAGGATGGAGTAGACAGAGTAGCACCCAGGCTGTCTCCAGACTGGCAGTGGGCCCTTGAGAAAGTCACCCCACCTTTACCAGGCCTCGATTTCCTCCTGGTGATGTTGGACAAAATGCCTGATTCTCAACCTGGCTACACATCAGCATCACCAAGGAAGACTTAAAAATACAGATCCCAGGCCCCAAACCCCTGAATGAGAACCTCCTGGACAAAGGCCCAGGCAGCTGTGTCTTGATTCTCCAGGTGATTCCAATCTGAGGATGCGCCTCCCACCCCCGCTCCCCCCCGCCCCCAGCCCGCCACGCTCCCCAGGATAGCCTACCATCCTGTGAAAACGAAGTGTAAAATGGTAGAGAGGAAACTGCCATCAGAAGAGTCTGAATCCTGGCTCTGCCACTCCATGCTGGGACTCTGGAGTAGTCTCTTGGCATCTTTGGGCCTATGTCCTCATCTCTAAAATAGATGCAGTAGCCCACACCCAGTGGTGCTGTTGTCAGGAGTGACAGGTAAACAGCCGGTGCTCCATAAAAACCGGAACGTCTCTTTCCTCCCCTGCCTCCTGTCTCTAAGGAGGTTATAAGATAAACTGCTTCCCCTCAGCATCCATGGAGGTCACCCCTCTCTGTTCTCACCCACCCTGTCCCAGAGCAGGAGCTCCCCCATCAGCCCCTAACAGGATCCATCCTGACCCGATGCAGCAGGAGGGACTTGGGATAAACAGAAGGATGGGCCATGTGACACAGGAAAGGATGGATATGTACATTGTAATCTCATCAGCCTAATCCAGCCTGGAGAACGTCCAGAGGCAGAGGAGTGGACATCTGTAGGATCCCTTCTAACATTTGGAGTGGAACTGGAACATTCTGATCTTGGATCCACCAGAGGAAGGACGGTCATGTTTTCACATCAAGTGGCCTTTGCTCCAACATGGCCCCTGCTCAGAGGCTACAGGCAGAGTCGAAACCCAGGAGATGAGCACCCACAGCCCGGCTGTCACCTGCAGCCTCGTGCAACAATTCAAGATGGGTCTTAGATGACCTCACCCGGGGCCTTTACCAGCTGGCCTGCTGAACAGGTTCTGGACAGGGCTCCTTGCAAAAAACTGTGTGTGGGCTGATGTTTGGGTCTACAGGGGATGCCTCCAAAGGAAGCCAGGATTGACATGCTTATTCATTTCAATCAGTCAACCCACTAACCCTGCTCGGTGCCTATGTCCCCCACGTCTGACATTCCAGCAGAGCCAAGCCTAGACAAACAGCTGTGCTCCAGCCCAGTCTCCTGGCCACCCTGCACCACTCCTTGACCACCTCTACGCACTGGGGTGCACGCGCGCGCGCACATGCTGTCTGAAGCTCCCACTATTAAAGTCACTCCAATTGATCAGACATTTTCCCCTGAAACTCCTGTAGAGCCCACGTATCCTGAATCCCATCTCCTCAATGCCCTTCCCCTCAGTTGCTCTCAAATATTGGAGGAGAATTAGGGGACTTCTTCCTCATCCTCTACAAGTTTGGACAGGTCCCTCCCTCTCCCGGGGCCTGTGTCCCCGTTTGCAAGGTGAAGGAGGAGACCGAGAAGATTGCTAGGACTCCAGCCAGCCTGCCATCCCGCCAGCTATGGTTTGATGTTGATCTACAGTTGCTTCTGTGTAACTGGGCGGATGCTCCCCGGGCTTGTTTGTGCATCTGAGCTCTGCCTCCTGACCTACATCGTGAGCCCTCAAGGGCGAGGGCTCTGTCTGAGTCCTACGGTGGCTCCAAGCACCAGAAGGTGAACTCCAAGTTTCCGGTGCCTCCACAGAGGGCTGCCCAAGACCCTTCAGTCCTCCAGGGGTACTCGGGTATTCTTTAGGTGACACTGGTTTCGGATGTAATTTGCGGGCAAACCCTACATATATTTTTTTTTATTTTACTTTTTTTTTAAAGATTTTATTTATTTATTTGAGAGAGAGAATGAGATAGAATGAGCATGAGGTGGGGGGAGGGTCAGAGGGAGAAGCAGACTCCCTGCTAAGCAGGGAACCTGATGCGGGACTCGATCCCGGGACTTCAGGATCATGACCTGAGCCGAAGGCAGTCGCTTAACCAACTGAGCCACCCAGGCGCCCCTAAACCCTACATATAAAACAGATAAATAAGCATGTATATTGCTTGTAGTGGAAGTGGGCACCTGAAGCCACCGGCTTCTTGCCACCAATTTGCCCCCCTCCTTATCCCTGACATTTCCAAGAATCCTGGGACTCCATGGGGGAATTTGAAGACCACCAATTTAGTCCAACACCTTGGGTTCACACACATAGGGAAACCAGGACTGAGAGAATGGAAGGGACTTGTCTGTGGTCCGATAGCTAACTAAAGGCAAAAACCAGGGCTGGAACTTGGTTGGCTCTCCCAGAATCCAGTCTGAGGCTCTGCAGTTTTTTGGGTTGCACCGGATGAAGATGATTGCCCCCTTGGTTCTGTTTTGGTTTCCCAAGGAAGCTCCCAAAGGATGGGTTCCACTGCCCTGCCCTGTCACTGTCTCCCAGCCTGAGGCTTGAGGCCAGGCTGGGTTTGGGGGCACCGGGGAATTGGGAACACCTTCCTGTGCCAAACAAGGCTCCTGAAAAGGATCTCTGAGTCTTTTCCCATTTGTAACCCGTCTCTCTCTGCCCAGGGGTGTGGGTGAGAGTACAGAAAAAGTATCAGCTAACTCTTGGTCAGGAAGGCTGGGCGGGGAGGGGTCCCGGGCTGCCCCAATCGGAGGCGTAGAGAGAAGCCGTTGAGGAAGGTCACGTCCCCCCACATTGAGCACCAGGAGGTTCACCCAAGCGGGGGGCTGCCCAGCATCTGTGGAGCAAGGGGCAGCAACCCCAGCTGAGCCTTTGGCCCAGAATGCCTTCTCTCTGTGTGCAGCCCTTTCACAAGCCTCCACAAGCTTCTGCTCCTCCCCAGAGAGGTCCAGGCATGGTCACACAGACAGCCGTCATGCAAATGCACTTGTGTATCCCATATACAAACACAGGCACCAAACACCCACCTGCATATACAACACAGACACGGGTATGTACATCCCATCCCCACGCAAACTGCAGCCCTCCCCGAGCAGCACCCACCGACGGGCACGTGCCCCTGCAACCACACACACAAAGCACACAGAGCCCAGTGAAGGGGACAGAGGAGGCCGCCGGGGAAGTCAAGAGACTGGCCGGCGGGGATCGGATAAGCAGCGAGAAGCCACTGTACTGCAAATGCGGAGTCTAAAGCCAGAGAGGGGAAAAAAAGCATTTAAGTGGACCCCAAATTCCCTCCTCCTCACCCATGACCCCTGCCCCAGTGGTCAGTCCTGCTCAGGTGGTAAGAATTCTCTCTCCCTAAAACAAAAAATAAAAAAGAAGAAACACTGCAGCCAGGCACAGAGCCCAGGCTTGAGCCCGGATGGATTCTCTGATCGGATTTGAACTTACTCTGTGACTTTGATCAAGCCCCCAGTCATTCCTGAGCCTCCATTTGCTCATGTAGGCAATGCCCCTGTCTCCTGAGGCCTTAGAGGATTAGGGAAACCCCCTCTGACCCCCCAGCCTGCAGGTGCAGGGGGGCGACAAATGGATTCGGAAAGAGCCAGGGACAGCGGAGACTCAAGGCCCCAAGCCCGGGAGCACCCAGGGGAGCAGATGCCCCTGCAAGTTACCTCCTTCTCGGCCTTGGCCTCTTCGACGGTCACCGTGCCGTGATTCTTGTGCTCTTGGAACATGCAGAGGTAGCAAATGCAGGTCTGGTCCGTCTGGCAGAAGAGCTCCATGGTTTTGCCGTGCAGGGGGCACTTGCGGGCCTCGAAGTCCCGGATGGGCTCGAGCAGCTGGTGGTCTCGGAAGGCGGCGCCCTCCAGGTGGGGCTTAAGGTGCAGCTCGCAGAAGGAGGCCTGGCACACCAGGCAAGACTTGACGGCCTTCTGCTTGTTGCCAATGCAGGAGTCACATAGGACCTCCTCGGAGCCCGACTTGGAGCGCAGCAGGAGGCCACCGTCAGCCCGGGGGTAGCTGTTCCGCCGGGCCTCCCCGGGCTCCACGATGGACACCGTGGGCTTTCGGGGCTCCGAGAAGATGGACTTGCGCAGCTCCCCCTTCTCGGCGAAGGAGAGGGGCAGCTTCCTGCCGGCCCCCAGCTGGAGCCCGGCATAGGGGGACCTCTTGCCGTCTCCAGAGTCCATGCTGAAGTAGCTGGAGCCCTTGTCGTCCACGGACTCGACAAACTGGATGATGGGCCGCCGCCACTCGTTCCCTGAGAACAGGGAGCTCTTGCCCTCCCCTGGCTTCGGGGCACCGCCCAGGCTCTTGCCCTCGGCCGCGTCCCCGCCGTGCCCGTTGGTGGTCTTGGCATCTTGGCCTTCGGCCTTGGCCCCATTCTCCAGGGTGCCATTGGGGCCCAGGGGGCTGCGGGCATCCCTGGCTTCCGGGCTGGCCCCATTGCTTCTGGAGGCATCTGTGGCTTCCATGGCCCGTCACTCGGCTGGCGTGTTTGGGACTTGCTGGGGCTGCAGGTGGTTGACCTCTCGGGCTGGCGTCTCCACGGGGAGTGAGTCAGGTAGCCAGAGCCCAGAGACACACCTATAGGGAACAGGGGGGAGGAGGTGGAGGAGGAGGGGGCAGAGGAGGAACAGCCAGCCCAAGCCTGACGCAATGGGCCCGGAGAGCCGGCGGCTGGCTCCCAGAGCCAGCAGAGCGCCTCATTATACAGGGGGCCACGCCCTGCACATTCATACCTCACCTGATTTCTAAAGGACGTGGGGGTTTTTTTCTCCCCTGGTTTAATTATTTTCCAGAGCTCAGCAACCAGTCCGCCTGCTCCTTTCTGATGCACCTTCTTCTCCGGAGGAAGCAGGGGATCTCTGTCCTCCCAGGTGGGAAGGTGAGGTGTCTGCCAAGGTCCACAGGACAGAGGGCTATTAATTGGGTCATGCAAGCCAAATAGCCTTATAATTTGCAGGCCCGGATTTCAGAGGAGAGATTTCCCACCCTGGGACAGTGGAGTTCCTCCTCACCTTAAGGAGAAAGGTGGGTCTGGTTGGATTTGGATTGGAGGATGGGCAGTCCAGTGGCCTCTGATTCTTGAACCCTACTTGCCAACTTCCAGGCATTGTCCTAGGTCTGTCACCTACAGGGGCTCCTTTCATTCCCACCACAACCTGTTCAAGTATCCTATTTCATAAACGAGAAAACTGAAGCTCTACGAAGCTGCCTCACGGGCCTCAGCAAGTGCTAGGGTTGAGATTTGGAACCCGAGACCTTTGAGCTGCCAAAGGCTCTTCTTTAGCTAGGGTGTCAGGGAGCCGCCTGAATGTCAATGACATCTAGAAGTCGTGCCTGGCCCAGCGGCCCTAACGAGATGCATGCGGCCCTTAGGTCATTTCTTTCTTTCTTTCTTTCTTTTTTTTAATTGGAACTGTTTTCATATTTTTTAATAGTTATTTTTTTTACTAAGTTTTTTATTTTAATTCCAGTTAGTTAACATCCAGTGTGATACTAGTTTCAGGGACAGAATTTAGTGATTCGACGCTTCCATACAACACCCGGCACTCCTCACAACAAGGGCCCTCCCTTGCCCACCCCCCTTCTTCCCCCCTTCCCCGCCCCCCAACTCCCATTTTAGGAACCAGCAGTTTGTTCTCTGTAGCTAAGAGTCTGTTTCTTGGTTTGTCTCTCTCTCCTTTTTTTTTTTTTTTTTTTTTTTTGTTTATCCTTCTCTGGTCTGTTTTGTTTCCTGAATTCCACATAGGAGTGAAATCATATGGCATTTGTCGGCCCTTATGTTACTGCCATCAGAGCAGGTCAGAACCTGTTTGGACCGAAAGGACAGAGCAACATTCATGAGGAGAATGCAGGCAGCAGCAGGCCAGGTGGCTGAGGCCCCAGGGCCCAAACACTTCACTGTCCTCTGTCTCCACAGCAGTTTTGCTGTGTGACTCAGAAGAAAATCCGCCTGCCCTCTCTGGGCCAGGCCACAGGCAATACCCTCCAACAAGCAGCTGGTGAAGCGTAGCCCTCGGTCAATCTCAGAAACGAGCTGTTGGACTATGACAATCATATAAATAAAGACCTCAGGTAGCAAAGTGAGGAAAACTTCTCCCTCTGCTTTCTCTCTCTGACCACCCGCAGGAATACTGAACCCTCGGCTCTTGCCAAGACATGCCACCTCGTCACTTCTGGCGGCAACCCACTGCCTTGCTCCTGGGCAGCCAGCACCCCCATCGAGGAAAGGGCTGGATGGGGCCCAGCTGCAGTGGCAGGCTCTGGGCTGTGTGGAGGGGAGCCGGTCTCCTGCCCTCCCCTACCATCTGGGTCAAGTTCTGGGAGCCCTGCCCCTTTGGCTCACCAGGCTGAACTCGCTAATCCTTTGCAATAACAGCCTCTGGGAACAGGAGCAGAGACAAGCTTTTCACAGAGCAGCCAGAGTTTTAAGAAGAGGTGTGGGGTGGTGCTGGAGGGGTGGGTTTCCTCTTACCTGAGGACTCTGTCCCTAGGCCCCACCAAGCCCCCTCTTGTTTGTACTCACTGGTTAAGTTGTCACCAAAGGAACATTTTCGTTTCTAAAGGCCTTGAAAGAAAGGGATCCCATGAGCAACCTCGGTCACTCATCTCTCATCTTCTCCTGTTCACCCTCCAACCTCGCTTAAAGGCCTCCTGCGGCAACGCTTCTCGCTATGCCGGGTGCAGGTGGACTCTGGCTACGGCCCCCTACCCTAGCCCTTGCAGGTTTATGAGGTGAGAAGAGCCGGCAGGTGGGGCCTCCAGAGAAGTGTCCTTATGGAGCTGGGGTGAAGTCGGCTTCTTCAGACGAGACAGGCCCAGCCAGCCCCCACGGAGTCCCTTTCTCCCACGCCCACCTACCTGCCAACCCCAAACTTCCTCCCAGGCTTCTTTCATGAGGCATCTCAAAGCTGTTCCCCTCCTAGAAGACTCCCCTGATTCAGCAGGTGGCGCGGCCTCACCCACCCACAGCTGTGGCCTGGTAACACCTGACTCCACCGCCAATCACTTCCAGATGAAAGAAGAAACCCCTTACAAGGAGGAAACTCCTCTGGCTTCCTTGGGATCCCAGGGTTGGGCAGCAGCCGCTGCCTCTGAACAAGACTGTATCTAGGAACGTCCTCTAAAGGACTCGAAAGGGAAGAGACTTCACCACCTCCTTAGCCATCCACGTCAAGCTGGAGGACTGTTCACTGCCGGAAGTTCTTCTTTGAGTCTAACTTAAATATTCTATAAGGAAGGGAGTTAGCGATGAGGAACTGACCCTCCAGCCCAACGAAGGGCAAGATAGGGGGCAACTGTATCCAGGAGGGGACAGATCTAGTCCGGTCTGAGTGCTTTTATGGTTCTTTTGACTTCCTGGCCTCTCTGTCCTAGAGTAGAGTAGTTGTAGACAGCAGGAAGAAGGCTGTGGTGATTCAAAACTTTATAGCAGTAAGAAAACTTTGGAAGTCTCATTTTCTCATTTCTGCTACCTTCATAGTGTGGAGTTTATCCTGAAATCGGAGGGTAGACTGTATATTAAGAAGAATTCTCTAGATTGGGCGGGACTATTCCTGCTTTCAAATTATCTTCTTAGAAGAACTTTAAAAACAGGACTGATTTCTACCTGCCTAGACTGTTCCAGGCCTCCACCTGCAGGGTAGGGGGCAAGGGAAGGGGAAGGGCCAGACACTTAGAGCACATCTTCAGCGAGCCATGGTCCCAGCCTGGGGTGCAGAAGAAATGAGACACTGTCCCCCACCTTCAAGGGCCCTTTGGCCTACTGGATCCTCAGGATTCAAGCAATAGTCTTCTTACACTTCCTCCTACTCCAAGGACCCCTCCTTTGCTCCTTCCAGACCTTTTGCCCCCTGAAAAGACACCGCGTCTTAACTGTAACTCTCAAGTTAGCAGAAGCAAGGAGGGGCCTCACCAGGGGCAAGTGGTCAGGTCTGGGTCTGGTGGCATAACCCTGACCGAGGACACCTTCAAGATGAGGAGGTCCACAGATGGATCCGCCATCCCCATGTCCCCTGGCTTGGCCCCTACCCAACACTTGCCTAGGACTCTGGGGAAAAGGCCCATTAGATCAGATTGACTTCTCACCATGGCTCCCCATCAACACCCACAAAGGAGGGGTGTGATCATTAGCTTTATGTGTCAACTTGGCAAAGCTTTAATACCCAGTTATTTAATCAAACACTAATCCAGGTGTTGCAGTGGAGGGATTTTGTAGACGTGGTTAATACCTACAGTCAGTTGACTTTAAGTGAAGATTATCTTCTATAAAGTGGTTGGGTCTCATTGAATCAGTTGACAGGACTTAAGAGTAAAAACTGAAGTTTCCTAGAGGAGAAGAAATTCTGCCTCAAAACTGTATCAGCAGCTCCGGCCTGAGTCTCCAAACTGCCAGTCCGCCCTCTGGATTTTGGCCTTACCAGCTCCCATGATTACATGAGCCAATTCCTTGAAGTAAATCTCTTTAAATAAATATATATCCTGTAGGTTCTGTTTCTCCATGAAATCCTGGCCGAGTCCTGCCATAGCCCCACTCTGGTCTCCTGGGGGATTTGAGAGGCTTCTCATGAAAAGGGGCCCTCCATCAGGGCCCTCAGGCGTCGGCGCTCTGTGGGTACAGCTGGGTTGGGGTGAAGAGTAGCATGTGCGGTAGGGGGTGCAGGGTTGGGGTGAAGGAGCCCTGGGACTCTCTTGGTGTGTGAATTTGGGCAAGTTACTTAATCTCTTGGAGTCAATTTCCTGGCCTACAAAATGAGGCTAATCACAGCTCCTTGGAAGGACTGCAGAGGGATTAAGGAGGTAACAGTTGTGAAAATGCCAGGATGGTGCACAGCTCACAAGAACTGCTCAACAGGGTTCTGTTTAAGGAAACACAAGGAGGGCTTCCCTCTGCTGGAGGAGGAGCTGTCTAGGGGACACTGGGCTTCCTTCCCCACGGCCCCCAGCTTGGGTGGGGCGAGGCCTTTAACCCTCCGTGCCTGGCTCTCCCCCGTGCATCTCCCAGGTACCTTCCAGCTCTGAAATTCTATGATTATAGGGTTGCATCCCACAGAGAAGGGCAGTGAAAATAATTAAAGACTTGGAAAACGCAACCGGAGAGGAAAGGTTGAAGGCACTGGGATTATTTAGCCTGGAGACGGGTGGGTTAATAACACCCTTCTTAACCAGGGAAGGTTATTTGGATGGAGGCGCTGGCTGGCCAACTTCTCTCCCCTTCTCCGGAGGGCAAACAAGAGCAAGCAGGCACACAGCACAGCTAGAGGGGCTGGAGTTGGTCAGCGGGGTGTCTTTCTCACCTGAGCTAACATCTACTCCTTTGAAGGGTGTGGGGGCGGGGCTGCTGGGAGGGTGCTTTGCAGACCCGCCTTGTGGTTGGCCATGGATTGGGTGACCTCTGGGTTTCCTCCCTGCTGTTTGATTTCTAGAAACTAATTTCCCCAGAACTGTGAAAGCTAGAAGGAAAAAAAAA